CCTGGTATGATGAGCTGGGCACTGGTGACTGGTGATACGGTCCTGGCTGCTGAGTGGGGTACTGCCTGGGCTTGAGACGGTCCTGATAGATGAGCGGGGCCCTCGTGGTGATGTGACGGCACTGCACTGAATCTCTACACTCTCTCGTAAATCACTCCGATGCCACGCGAAACCGATAAAAAACACAAAAATATTCCACTGATCCGGCTCGAAGGACCAAAATGTATAATGAGAGACCTGGTTTAGCGGAATTAATAAGTGGATGGATGAGATGAGGATGAATTTTTTCAGGGAGCGTTGAGCGGGTCAAAAAAGTTCACTGCAGGCGGTTTTTAACTATGTCAGCAGAAGTCAAATTTATTATTAAATAATTATGCCACTGAGCTGCTCACAATTGATGAGTCACTGAGTAACCAAATAATGAGCGGACCGAATTCTTAGTAAAGATAATAATGAGCTGTCACGCAATGATTTGACCCGAGTAACGAAAAAAGAGCGGTAGTAATAGCGCAGAGCTTATCACGAGTTCCCGGAAACGAATGAGAGAGAGACACGGGCTTACAGGTGCCACGTGCCCTAATTCCAATGGTCACATGACCTATTTTAATATATATCAAAACTAATGAAGAGCTGTCCAGGAAGTGGCGCCTCAGGTGTCAAAAGTGATGACCCTTTGGTCATCTCAGGTGAGAGCGTCAGGTGTGCGTGAGTGGGGAGAGAATGAATGAGCCGTGCGTGTGTATGTGTGAGTGCCTGTCAGCTGACAGGATTTCCAACAGCCACACATTCTCGTCTGATACAACAGGTCTGTATTCTCCTATAATTCCTTACCAAACGGAAGATTTTTTCATTCGTTCATTAATCACGATCATTAATGTAATTATTTCTCAAATATTGGGCTAAATTCTGAAGAAGATCGAGCATAAAACACATGCTCCAGAATTCGAAGGAATCGAAAAACAAAGAGTTGTATCCAATATGAGACAGCAAGCAGTTCAGGGACATGAATTAGCCTCTAATATTGTGACTTCGGCAATTATGACTGTACCTAAGTCAGTTACTGTACGTTTGCCTCGAGCTGATATATTAGCGAGAAGAGTGCGAGTTATACGTGAGAATGAAAATCCAGTTCCACCAAATCACGAAAAGGGGAGTTGTTTGGTGAGGATCTCGGTTAGGGTGGACTGGGAAAGACGTAGCGTGAAAGCCGGTGAAGAATGTTAAGAGATTGAATTTTTAAAACCGTCGTTTGACTCCGGCGGAATCGAACCTCCTTGATCGTCTTAACTCTATCACTTCTTACAATGCAGAGAAATTTAAATCTAACACTCATGGTGAATTCACTGTAATTATTAATGTAAACAAGTTGGTGATCGTACTAAATGACCTTCTAAAGGAGGTACTAATATGAACACCTCGAATGGTGATGTCCTGTTGCGGCTGGAGGCGGGAGATTTTCTGATTGTACGAAATTAACTGAATGCTTTGAATGCTCGTGGCTGTCTGACTGACGCGACAATTTCGTTGATTGACTGGGCCTGGCCGATGACCCGAGTTTTTCACGTGTTTTTCGAAAGTGGCTGCTCCACCCTGTCGGTAATTCGTCCAAGTTAGGCTGTGTTTGAAATAGAAGTAATTTTGATATTCCTCCACTCTACACTGTTACAAGGAAAGAAAAAAATTCTATTGTCTGCTTCAGCAGATAATTCTCGCCTATTAATATTTACGACAAAAAAAAATTTGAAAAAATTGGGAGACTGCAAATATTGGTATGGCACATTCAACTCTGTACCGAACGCTTTTGCACAACTATGGACAATACATGGGGAAATAAATAACATGGTTGTCCCATTAGTATATGCACTTAAGCCCAATCGTACCAGAAAAACGTATCTGAAAAGTTTATCAGTATTATTAGAAAGCAATTTACGACGAGCACCAGAACGTCTTCTTACAGACGTGGAGTTGGCTTTCATAATAGCAATAACGAAAAAATTCTCAGAATGTCGTATTCAAGGTTCTCACTTTCACTTTCGGGTAGTCATTGTGACGAAACATCAAGGAACTAGGCCTATCACACTTATATTTCAATGTGTCTTCTGTTCGAGACATCCAATTATTATTTGCTCTTGCTTTTGTTCTATTAGAAGGTGTGATTGAGGCTTACAAAATGATTAACGAAATAACATTCTACATAAACAATCGCAACAGATTAGATGCACTTCTGGAATACATGGAAATTACATTGGTTTATTAAATCGCCGCGGAGAACATCATAACGCAAAAGTTAATCCTACGTTATGAAATACGTATAAGGCAGTGAAAAACGGATTAAGCCGAACTAATAATGCTGTCGAGAGGTGGCATCATGGATTTAGTGCGAAAGCTGAAGCATCTGATGTGTGTTTATGGAAATTTATAGATCTATTAAAAAATCAGCAAAGTGCAGCTGAGCTTGCAATTGCACAATTAGAATCTGGAGCAGCTCCCAAACCAAAAAGAAGTGCTTACAGAGACTGTAATAGACGTTTTTCGGGGACCGTGGATGGGTATGAACGAACAAAGTTCAAAACTTATCTGAAAAAAGTTGCCAATTTGTTGGCTTATTAATAAAGAAAAATGAAATAATACAAAACTATATTCGTTTATTTGTTGTTTCATTATTTTCATAATAACAATTTATTCCCAAGATCTTGGTATCACTTTTTTTTTTAAAATTCTCATCGACAAATACTATTTGAGAGAAATTTACGACTATAAATAAATGGCAAAAAAAGAGGAGGGGGGGGGGGGAGTAATATTAGTGTTGAGAAATTGTGGGGGAGAAATTTTGCGGAGGAATTTTCGTAGTAGAATTTTTTTGGAGAAATCTAGCCCTGCTACTTTTCTAGTCTCTCGCTTTAACCCCCACATCTACCGATTATTTTAGGTGGCGCCTACTGCGTTCTTCACATACCCAGTTGGCAACGTTGTGCCTGCTCTTTTTGCACCTGCCTATGTCTCATGTTTACATTTTCTGATAATGGAGGATTGATGTGAACATTTCGATTCTTCTTATTATTGTTGAATATAGTTTCCTATCTCAATCGTCGGATTTTATTAGGTATATTATCATTGAAATCTTCATTGGCTTCTGATCGATGTTCCTGAGATACTTTCACAGTCGAAGCTTTGAAGAAAACTATCGCGCCTTTCAATCAATCTATTAATGCGATTTCATTTTTCACGTCACCCCCTCCCGATCATTGAATGAGACTCATAATTGTTCCTGCGTCAGTAACTATCGATGCAGAGGTGCCACGAAAAGTATGGTCCCTGTAAGCCGCAGCTGATCCCAAGCTTAGGAAACTGATAATTGTACAAGACAGCTTGCTGAATGTATGTTCTCCGACATTTTAAACCGTACCTTCGCTTTTGTTGCATCCAATATAAAAGTGTGAAGTTTCGGTAAGTTTTGGTCCTAGTTTCATATATTTTTTAACCATTGGATAAGATTTACGATCAATGAGAAACGTACGCTCCAAATCGGTTTTTGTGTTCAGAATCTCGAATTTTCATTCACGATTCACAGGATGATTTTCAAAATTTTTCATGTTAATAAGGCGCAACTCAGCCTTTCTACATGTCCCCTCATGCCGTTAATCAGAATTACCGTACAAAACGGCGCTTCAATTTGTAATTCATCTACAATGAACAAAATATATTGTCTTGGCAATTCCATTTGATTCGCCCAATGAAATGCCGGAAATTCCCAGTCGAAGATTCACTTTAAAGTCTTATCAGAAGAATGTTTGATTGTTAAAACCTAGTTTGAGGAAATTCTATTCCATTCTCTTGATGGGAATTACCTTTGTCAGTAGGTGATCAAAGTCGCTAGCCCTGTCAAGGATGTCAAGGAATCTGATCAAATGCTCCTGCATTTGATCAGACATTTAAACTTTGGACATTTTTTACATATTTCTCGAGGTTGACATTCTCTTTGACGGCCATTTGTTTTTTTTAAGCATAGAATACATTGACCACGAAGTACTTGGATATTTTCCCGATGCAGATAACCCAAAAAAGTAGGCCATAAAGACTTTCTCATCAAATCAATTAAAATTATTTCGTATTGTCTACTCCAAGGAGCTGTCATAACATCTGTTGTATTTATCTCTGGGTTTTTGTGACAGAGTTTTCTCTGCGTAATACAGCGCTTACTCAACTATTTCTGCAGGTAAATCAGTGTTATCACTGTTCAGGAACTGTTGCACATAATTCTCAGCTATTGAAAGATAGTTTTGTTAGATCTTACAAGAGATGTGCTATTCAATTATATTTGATTTGTGCTGATTTTGAGGTTAAAGATGGAATATCTCATATCTCCGGCGTTAGAATCACTTCTGTCATCCATGATGCGTTGGTATGCTGCGAACATGCGCGAGATTCCAATCGGGAGTAGGAAAATGGTAACACGAACCGTGGCGAGGCTTTTTTCCAAAATACTACTCAATTTCCTGGGTGGTCTGGGAAAAATCAGTTTGCCCTCCCGGAAACAGCCTGGAAATAGGTGATTTTCTCATCCCAGTCCGGAACAACCATTTTTTTTTGTGTATTCCTTGTAACGAGATTTTCCCAAATTAGGCACGTTAAACATGAATATTGAATTATTATGTCTACGATCTCCGCACTCCCCCGGGATTTCTCGAATCGTCGAAGGGTGTGATCCCGCTTCCGTTCTGTTCGTCATCGGCTTTCGCCTCTCGCAGGTAGTTTTGGTATTTACCGTATTACGAATTTATGAATATAAGGATTTTACTGTTTTCCGGATTTTTGGATTTTGTGTTCTCGCGAAGACGAGCTCCAATCCCACTCCAGTCCAACTTGGATTAAGGGTTAAGGAGCGTTTCAGATGGACGGCCACGTATGTAAGAAGTATGAATTGAAAAGTCCATATTTCTAGAATTAGAAAAATATAATCAGAGAAAATGAATTTACTCTCGGGATAATAATTCCTATAAATGAAGTATCAGTCAGAACCGAAAAATAATGCATATTATCATTTTTCATACAGCATTGGTTCAGGGGGTGGATCTTTAACTCGAGAGGAACGCAGACGACGACGAAGAGCCACCCAGAAGTACAGAACTGCTCATGCTACTCGGTGAGTGCAACGTTTTATTAACATGTAATACAGACTGGAAAATCAAATCTGCCATTCCTCTGGACAAATTATTATTTCTATTTCTAAAAATATAATTCGCATAGGCACTGAAGGAAATGAAGCTGTATATTTGAATCGTGCATAAAATAGTATATTATGCAACACGTGCGTAATATATTTTTTGACTCGTGGGGGGTTTGTCACATGAGCCGAAGGCGAGTTTTACAATCCCACGAGTCGAAAAATATATTACGCACGCGTTTCATACAAAATTTTATGTCATCGCCCCCGGAATCCGCGATTTAACCGAGCGAAGCGAGGTTAGAATCGTGCGATTACGGGCACCGATGGCATAAATAAAATTTATGGGTGACAGCACGATAGAAAAAAATCAATTGAAAAGCAATAGTTCAGAAATAGAAAATAGACATAGACTAGAATTAAATTACACTGAAATCGCGCCAACGGGCTTTGCGAATAGTAGTATTAGTTTTCTTCTACTAATCATATGATGGAGAGTGAACCTCTTAGCGATAGTACTATTCCATCCTAAACATAGATTCTAATCTATTTCGTTGTGCATTCCTTCAACAACTGTTTTTTAGGTATAAAAGAGCAAAGGTTTTGAAAATTAAGCTTAGTCATTTTTTCATACACCAACGAGGTAAAGTTAATTCGAGGAAGAACAATAAAAAATTGTTTTTCTATTCTTTCTTCCATTACAATCTATTTTATTAATATATGTTTCGCATATATACTTGACTATTTATTAATTCATTTGATATGAAATACATATAATTTCTGGGAATTCCATAATTTCGTCTCATTTTAACTACGCAATGTCCTTTAAATTGCGACTGTGTCACATTTCATTAAAAAGCTCGATTTTCAAATGTTGTCTTCATTCCCGCAGCGAAGTTTGGATTAGAAATTGTAATACTTTCTGTCTATACTGCGACGCTAGTGGTTGATTCAATGTGATGTGATGTGGTAGTCCAGTCAATTTAAGACCTCGACCCACCATTAATTCAATGAAAAAATGCTAATCGGTTCATAAAAATGTCCTAAAAAACATGTCAAAATGTATCATCTGGATTCCAACAGACAGTCAGTTAAATAAATTGAGAACTACTATGTTTTATGCGGTGGATGCCAAGAAACTGTACTGCATCAGTTCAGGCCATCCCACTGAAAATACAAAGATACTGGCAGGGACGTCTTTGGGCTAGTCGTCAGAGTGCTGGCCCTATGACCAAAGCGTCCCGGTAGCGCAGGTTCGAGTCCCGATGGTGAAAAATTTTTCATCGTTGGAAAACGAACCCAGTGCCTGTGGAAGTTAGTTATAAGGTAGCTAGATGAAAGCGCGGATAGGGAATTAGGTTGGGGTACCGCGTAGGTACTGGGAAAGGGTTGGTAAAAGACCCACCAGGGTCATACCATCTGGCACCACCCATTTATTTATTTTACAAAGATACTGGCATGTAGTACGCAAATTTCTCTATAATTGTCTACCAAAAACAACATTCTAATGTACATAATTGTTATGAAAAAACAGTACTGAAATTTTTTAACCTCAAGTTGAGATCTTACGTTCCGCCCCTTTTCGGTGCACGCAGCTTCAGCTAAGACACGCTATGTGCAATAGATTTAAATGTACTGCACGCTGTATTTTTATTTTCATAGACCGATTGGCATTTTTTCATTGACAGCCGAATTAATATTGAGTTCCAATGTTTTTACCAGCCAGATTGATTGACCTATAGCTGGCCACGCTTAGATTGCAGCCAAATCGTTCTTCATCACAGGAAATCGTTGCAACGGGTTGTGAATTAGATAGGAAGGGAAACCGGATAATTCTCGATATAATTCTACAAGAAAAATTTACTAAAACAGTACACAGTCCAAACAGGGATTTGAACGCGGGATCTTACGATTTCATATCGGGTGCTCTCTCAACTGTGCCATCTGGCTCATACTGACTTTTTTATAAACATTTACGCTCGAAATAAATTTTGTGTCAGTTGTCTCCTACGTCCTCCGTCGAACCCTACCAGTGTTATGTGAAAAATGTTTTGATTACTGCCTTCTTTCAAAAATTATTCAACTGTACTGTTTTAAATGGAATACCTTATGTAGCGGACACTGGGTCACTAGGCAGGTCGAAATATCGGGTAAAAAGTGAACCCTTCAGATGAGTTGATCGTAACTAGTCACAACAGATAGTGTCCGGAGGAGAAACGATCTTATAAATCCCACTGAGTGGGGCGAATTGCATGGGACTAAGTACTGAAGTACACAAGGGTTATAATATGAGGAATTAGCACACAAACAGAAAGACACCCTTAGGTTTCCCTTACAATAGAATTTAAATTTATTACGCTTCACTTGATATACAGAATAGAAGAAAGTCCAAGATAAAAACCAGAGGTAGATAGGAAGAGAGTGTAGGAGGGAATAGCGTAAATATTGTTGGTGTGGTTTTCTGACTCATGGTTGTTGAAATAAACGGCAACAGGGAAGGGGTGATCTCTTAGTGTTTCCTCTTCGCGGCGGATTCCGGAGAACTCCAAAAGTATGCTAGATCCTCTAGCACTGATGGAGTCAAAAACTGCTCAAACACGTTTCTCTATCGCTGATGATGATGATGATATGACCCCGGAGGTGTTGGTGGCGTTTAATAGACTTGAGTTGTCCCCTCAGGCAGAACTTGGTTGCTCCCTAGCTTTATGTTGCTAGGTGTAGAGAGATTCCGGAGCTGGACACTCGGGGTAGACTCAGTTGTACGCTGAGTAATTCACCAGGTCGATTCTGGCTTGACGAGAGGATTCCCTCAGTTGTACACTCAGGATGAGCTCAGTTGTACGCTGAGCCATTTACCAGGTCGGTGCTAGCTTGCAGAAATATCCGTGACTGAACGCTTGGGATGAACTCAGTTGTACGCTGAGCGAGTTACCAGGTCGGTGCTGGTTTGCAGGAATGCGATCGATCTGACGCAGTGCAGAAAAATCGAGTTGTCCACTCGGTATAGTAGCGATGAGTGTGGGCGATGCTGAAGAGCTGCTTCCCTAGAGGCGGATCTTGAAGGGTCAGCTTTATTATTGAGCAGGGCCCCTCGCCGAAAATCAAGAATTTGTAATGGGACCGGGTGGCTTGCCTCCCTTGAAGTACACTCGTCGATCTGACCTAGCGAAGAAAATCGAGTTGTGCACTCGATGTAGTAGCGACGAGAGTGGGCGATGCTGCAGAGCTGCTTCCCAACATACGGATCCTGAAGGTTCAGCTTTATTAATGAGCAGGGCCCCTCGTTAACAACCAGGAGTCAAAATTTTACTTTGGACTCGTTGGTTGTGATTAAAGATGCGCACTCGATCTGGGCTGGCGAGGATAGTAGAGTTGTACGCTCGGATTACGCCCAGTGGTGACGTCAGAGGGTGGTCCTGTAGAGTTGCTTCACTGAAGACTGGGCCTGGAGAGTTGAACTGGATGACGAGCACGATACCACTTGAAGATTACAAGTCGAAGATTTAAATTAGACTGACTTTATTTGGCGAAAAACCGCCCTTGATATACTGTTTGGGCGTGATTCCCCTATAGCCGTTGGCATTTTGAGATTTCGTGATCGAACGTTTTTTAAGGTATGGTGGGAGGAATCTTCATATGATTAACAATGTCTTTAAAAAGGATGTTTCTGGGAAATGTTCCCTCACCCTGATGCTATCCCCCATTTCCCCAGATGCGGGACAAGTTTTTGAGAAAAAGACGGGACGAGCGCGCATTGGCCTCTCTCTAATTAATGTTCTTCTAATGTCAAAAGTGGCATGTTTACGCATCTTTCTGACGTTCCTGGCCCATAAATTTGACACCTCCTTTGACGATGGAACTATTGTTCATTAGAAACCTCGCGTCTCAAATGGAGTGGACCCTTTGAGGCTGGAGATGTCCCCTTGTTTGGACATCAAGAAATGATCTGGTGAATTGTGCCAATTCCTGGAAACCATCTCATAACTTTCGTTAGGTATAGGGTGCAGGTGACGTCATGGTCCCGGCCAACCCCCTGTAACCAATGGGGGGAGGCACTCGGGGCAGATGTACCCCCTATTGGCGTACCTTTTCTTTTGTCGATATCGGCAAACCCGTGGCTGAGGTGGTCCATCTCTGAATTGCCGACATTTTTATTTCTTTGGGGCAGCTCCCATCTGCAGTTACCAGTGGAGGGTTGTTTAAGTTATTGGCCCCCAAAAATCAATAGAGTAAAAAGGATCTCCTTAGCTGTGCCTTTCAGCAATCGTGTGGCTTTTTTTTAGATGATTCGTCGTTTCCAGGTGTTGTCGCCTTGATGGTCACTCCTTAACGCCTTTCAAGTCATAATGACGGGGACTTGAATACCTGCTAGGTGGTCTCTTTTATTGTGGTCACTTCGCATAATCGGCATTTAGGCCGGTCATAGCGACATTCGTTGCTATTGTATGGGATTTTCCAAAGCCCCATTTTTTGTGGTTACACCAAGTTTTCCGAATATATATAAAATAACTTTTGACCGTAGTAACTGCGGTGTCAGCAACACGTGTAGCCACTTACAAATTCGTTGACGATAGGAGAAAAAAAATGATGGTACTTATCTCGTTATGTGCCGTAGGAGAAATGGCAATGAGTGATGGCGAATTTTCACCTTGTCATCAATTTTTATGAGATTGGCACCAACCAAACACCTTTTCAGGCCCCATTGTAAGTTCCCTTTTAGATCTAGTTAATTTAGGTTTCTTCTATGTCGATCGATTTCTGGTTGGATCTATTATTATTCAGATTTTCTAATTTTTTTAGCGGGCCAATTTCAATCTGAATTACGTGAAAATTAAATTTCTTCCACGATTTACTGGTTTTCGACCAGTTCGCGTGGTTTTGAAGACTTCCATCAGACGGGAAGTCACTTCCAATGGCGAGAATAGCTTGAGAAGAGAGAAACATAGTTGTAATTTTGTTTTTGATTTTTTATATTTGAA